CTCTTTCCCGTAATGGTTTTATTATTTATTGTTTGAGAATAAAACTGTATTTACCTATTTTGATCAAAAGAACTTTAATTTATGTATTAATAAAAGCTTTTGTCTCAATATCATCCTTAGTGTTCACAAATACAGTAGATTGTATCACATTCCAAGATAATATTAGTCCTGTTCTCAAGTCAGTCTTTGAATATGAAAAGACAGGACAAACTTGGAGTATGGTATCAGTTGGGTTTTTGGTTTTTGTAATTTAAAAAAAAGTTTGCATAAATGTAGATTGCTTCTCAGTAACAGGCTGGTTTTAGCATTGCATACACAAAGAGAAGGCAGAAAATTGAGACTAAGGGGTAAGATGTAAAAGCCAGTATCCAATGAAGCCTCCTTCCTCATTTGCCTGAATGGAAAAATTTCCTGCCCCCCACCATGACATCCTGTAGACTGTAGCTGGGAGTTTACTGTCACTGCAGTGACCAAGTTAAGGTTAAGTATGAGTGGGAATCTTCTGAGTTTCAGAACAGCAATTTAGAGGGCATCATTAGGACAAAAAAATATGGTATCCTGTCCTGTATTTGATGTGTAATAGACTTACTTTTTTTTAGCATTACAGTAGTTATGCTAAAGAGGCACACTTAGGAAGGGTTTGTGTTTCATTATTACAGGGCTCAGACAACTCTCTCTGCAATAAAGGTTCTCATTCTTAAAAAAAAAAAAAAAGCCTGCTCTAATTTATTTTACAGGTGTCGAGAAACTGGAGTACATGTTGATGAGTCCTTATTTCCGGCAGTAGATACTAATGAAGGATTACCACTACTAATCAAAAAAGTGAGTATATGACTTTTTTTCTTTTTTTTTTTTTTTTTTTCCTTTTTTTAAACTAGGCCTAGAGTAGTAAACTTTAAAGTTTGAACTTGACTTCCTGACCTCGGGCATTTGAACTGTTTATTTTCAGAACCTTCTGTAAACTGTACCTATCGATCTGAGCAGGTTTTTAAAGGGAGGCTATGGCTGTGATGATGTGACATCTTATCTGAAGAAAGTATAATAAAAGTAGGGGTTTTATATTGGTGAATAAAGAAATGAAGATTTAGATTAGGATGACATAATGATTAACTAATCAAAAAAACATGACTAATGTGGCTTATGTTTCACTGAGTTGTGACAAACCCCAAAATCCTGGTATTTAAAAAAAAGAAATCTTTGAAGCCTTAGCTTTGCTACAAGCAAAAAAGAAAAGATGGTGACTTAGTCTCTTTTTACTAAAATCTAACCTAAAAAAATCTGTTAGGTTCTTTCTTATTTCATATTAAATTTCACTTCGGAAAACGTTAGCTTCTACAATTATCTGTGACTCTTAAGGAGGTGATAATAAGTAGCATAGAGTTAAACACTGATAATAAATATTGTGTTAAAGCGGTAGGCAAATAGGAAGTGTAGTTACTTCTGGCAGTTTTATACCATAAAATTAATAGTTTTGCGTGTCTTGTAGCACAAATGTATGCAGCCAAAAGACTTTATTGAAAAAACTCCAGAAAATGATAGAAAGATGCAGAGAAGACTGGACCAGATGGCTAAAGAATTAGCTGTACAAAAGACAGCAATTAATGCTGGTAAGAACTACTTTGGACTGAGATTCAAATATCTTAAGTTATTTCTTTAAAGCACTTGGTGGGTTTTTGGTTTGGGGTTTTTTTTAATTTTATGCATCTCACCATGAGAAATAAAGTTGACTTGCTACAGAGTTCTTTGCAAATTTGTGATATTAAGGCATTCATAATAATGTTAGGTATAAGGAACCTAATTTTTTCAAGTTTTTTGAAAAAAAAAAAAAAAGAAACTTCACATGAAGCTATTATTGCATGTAAATATTAATATACAAGTGCAATTTCTTTGTGTAGAAACTGATGTACCAGTTTTACTATTTGGAGACAATGGTTCACTTGTATACAGCCCTGTTAATAAGATAAAAGATCAATGCAGTGCAATGGAAAGAAGAATGAAGGAGATGAAGGAAAAAAGAGAAAATCTTTCTCCTACTGGTAAGAAGTTACATTTTACTTACCCTTGAGCATGGACAAATGGCTACCATCTTTACTGCTGAATTTGTGGTGCACTTGTCTTGCTCTGGCCTTCAGAATTTTTTTTCATATCTTAAATCGATTGCATGTCATCTGTTCTTCCCAGGTTTTGAGTAGATGTGAATGCTTTAGCTTTTAGTTTCTTTCTATCAAAGGACACAAGAAGTCATGGAAGAAAATGATTGCAAAACCAATTTCTTAATCACTAGACTGCTCAAGAGGACTAATGTTTAAGCTAGACTTTCTAAACTTGTAAATTGATATTATCACAATTTGGTTAAACTTTACAGCAAGACTCTAAATTTTATTTCCTGTTAAATTTTAATGTGAATGCTGTACTTCACAAAGATTGTAATGTTATTACTCCCCAGCCAACAGTTTTAAAAAGGAGTCCAAAATTGCTGAGACATCTGTCCAGGTACTGAAGAACAGGATTTTAAAAAAATAAACTAGTTTGAATGACATAATTGAATAAATCTAGTTGACTTCAAAATGCAGATCCTGGTGAATTAAATCTAGATTGCAGTTTTCAAATAATTTTTTAGTGTTTGCATTACCTTACTGTGAAAGTATTGAGGTCTAAGTCATTAGGTTTTGTCAGTTGTTATAAAATCTTGAAATGTGGAACATCTTGGGCGGTTTGGGCAGGAATCTGTAGTACTTGAAGTTTTAAGAAGTCTGTGTCAACTAGACTGTCAGTTTATAATTTCAAAAATAATTGTGGGAGGAGAGTAAAGAACCAGTGATACATGGATGAAAAATTAGATTATTTTAGTGTGGCTTGTATTTGTTTTCTCTTTGAGTTTTAAGGTAATACCTTCAAATGTTTTGTAAAGCATTTCTCCTGTATCAAGGCTTTGCTGCTAATTGCAGAATTTGACAGATTCTTTAGTAAAATGCCTCAGCTGGCTTAGAAATGTCCATAATATTTTCTAAATGGTTTGCGTCATTCTTTAGTTTCAGAAGAATGTGGTGCTGAGTTATCTAGAAAAAATTTGCTTAAAATTGTAGAATATCTAATAGCTTTTTTGTTAGTATGTAAATTTGAGATACTGTTGAGTATAATTATTTATATGGTTATAGTTAGTTGGCAAAGCAATGACTTGTCTCCTGTGATTGAGCTGTTTTGAAATCAGAATAGATGGTGTAGAAATCTGTATATTTGCAAATAGGGCTAACTAGTTTATTATTTACAAATTCCTAGCTTCACAAATGTCTCAGAAACCTCCAAGCAGTTCACCAGGAGACTGCCCGCTGTCTACTTGTGTCTTAACTAATTCAGCAGATGCATTGTTACCAGGTAGCTAACACAACTTTATATATTACACAAATTAAGAATAATACATGGCTTGTATATCTTATTTTGGTATACTGAAATGGGAACTGTATATATTTGCTCTATCATTTTTATTTAAAGTTGAATTATTTTAGTTTTTCTTAACTTGCAAAGTATGTAGAAGTAAAAAGTCAAGGAAAAGGGAGCATGAGGAATCCCATTGGGTAAATGCTCTGCCTTACTGCTGCGTTGCTTCCTCACTTCCTTCTCTTTCCTCACACTATTCCCCATTAATGACTTCTATTGCAATAATCAGATTGTAGAACAAGTGGGTTTTTTAAAAAATGTATTCTGAATAATCAAAGATACTAACCTTTTTCAGAGGAATTTGTTGTGAAAAGTTATGAATAGAATCTGCATATCACCTCCCCCAAAATCATTTCATAAGAATAGCTACATGAAATTATATATTTTTCCACATTCTAATTATTTTTAATACATTGTGTTGATGTATGTGGTATGATACTATGACAATGTATTTAATTTCATCTTAGCAGCGAAAACTACAAGGTGATGGTAATGCTGTGGTAGTAAAAATGATTATTGAGTTTCCAGTATTATTATAGCTAGCTTTGTCAGTGTAAAAGCATGCTGGTTTTCTCCACAAATACAAGAGTGAAAGGGAGTTCCTCTGCTGCTTTGTTTCAAGAAAGCAGAACAGGACTTACGGATACTTGTTACCATATAAGAAGATATGATAGCTAAAGCTATTGTAGCTTCTTGTCAACATAGAATGTGCTTTGTTTCTAATAAATTTTTTGGGTTTTGATGACTTGCCATATAATATCCAGAGAAATGGCTAAATCCTTGTTTTCTTCTTTCAGTAATTTTGTATGTATTTTACTAAGAAATTTGGTACTCTTTCTGTTTTGTTAAATACATTTATACTGCCATTTTTCATATTTTGCAGGAGAACAAATGGAAGACTGCTTGAACTCAAGTTACGATTATCTTTGGGGAACTGATAAATTAAAGAGACAGAAAACAGAGGTAGTAAAATATGCCGGTGATACTTGGACTGATACTCATGCATCCATGAGTGCATCAGTGAATTCTCCCTCCCATAGCTATGAGCAGAAGAGCTTAACACCAAAACGACATAGCAGAAGAAGCTTAGGAAAAAAACAGATTGTGCAGCACACTTTGCATGATAAATTGTCTTTAGAAAAGAAAGATCTAAAGAAGTTTCCAAGGAAAAATCAGAAGGATGAAAATAGCGTGACTACTTCAGTTGCAAATGAAAGTTCACTTCTCCAAATCAAGGGCTTGGGTCATATTACTCCTTCCAAAAAAATAGTCAAGTTAAATACTGTTCCTGCTTTGATTGGCAGTCTCTCTAATTCACCTATGAACAGTGAAGACTTAAATACATGTTCATTGGATAGAAGCTTCCCTGTTGACAGAAATGATTTTATGCTTGAAGACAAGAAGAGGAAGAAATCACAAACACTATCTAGTGTGAAACTGGCTACCTCAGAACTAGGTGCATCAGGGCCTAAAGAGTTCTTGCAAGCAGTTACTACATACAGCAAGTCTTTTTGCGCTGAAGACTCTTCTTATGAAGACTTCTTTTCATCATCTAATTTGAATGCAAATGAAGTACAGGTACGAGTACCAAAGGAATCGTGGAATCCTCCTGAAGTTTGTTGCAAAGACTCTTTCACAGGCATGGACTCACTTGATGTGAGTTTCTGTAAGCCCCATACTACTCCCAAGAAAAGTAGGGAAAAGTCCATTCCAGCAAATGATGTTTCAGTAAAGAAAAACTTCAAACCAACTGAACATCCTGGAAGTGTGCCATTAAATTATATGTCAGATGGTGAAAAAGCTGACACTGCAGAAGCTCTAGATTCTGATGATGTGAATAGGCTGCCTCAGCATGCTCATGAAAAATCCTACAGAACCAATGTGAATTACTGTACTCGCACTACTGGTAAGTTGCTACATAGAGCCGGAAAATGAAAAGATATCGTACTGCATTAGATATACCCGTGCAACTAAATTGCAAAATGAACTGCTATTCCCAAGGGCAAAAATATTTCAGAATTGCACCAAAAGAAGAAAATGCTGCAGTACTGACTTTATTTTTGAGTAGAATAAGTGAGTGCATAGGATCCAAAAGAATACCCTTTTTTTTCCCCATACATTACAAACACAAAGAAGTCCCTAAGAGATAAGGGAACTGTGCTCACAGAACGCAACAAAAGTATGTGAGCCTTGTTTTCCCCTAATGCTTGGTATTCTGTAAACTTTCTGCTGCTATTCAAAATCTGTTTAAGAAACCAAGGTCTTTCTGTTTTAAATGTTATGGTGCTCTTGTAAATCGTTTATAAGTAACTCCTCATCATAGGGTCCCTTGTTCAAATTGTTTTTATTTCACAAGTTAAAATTGCTACTTTAGATTAATTGCCATTAAAGGCATAAAATCTCTAGTGGAAAAGAAAATATTTGAGTTAGCAATTTCTAACTTGTGCCATGATGAAGACTGAATAAGACATTTGAGGGCATGTGCAAGAGTTGCAATGTAAACATCTTTTTCAACCATGGCTTTTTTATATGGAACTGATCTTAGTTTTTAGTAATAACTTCAAGAGCATTTTTTATATTTGAGTGTTTTCAAGTTGGCTTAGCCTAAGTTATTTCAATGCAAATATATACCAAATACTGAATCTCAGGAACTTCCCTGAAAAATGCTCCTAACTTGCATTGGGGTAATCGCTTTCAGATTTTGATATTTTGAGTTCTGTTTCTCAAGATTTACCAAGGGTTGAATATTTATAATTATAATTGTATACTTTAGTCATTTGTTTTTCCTAGAAGATTCTGCAGCAGTGCATCAATGAATTATATAAAATTAACTATTAACTTAAAGGGCTCAAGAAACTTGTTATCAGACTTATGAAGTCATCCAGTTGAAATGTTGAATGGTGACTGTGCTTGTATCTGTGGGTAATAAGTTGCTGAACTGTGAGCTGCTATTTTGGGTTCACTACATCTGTATTTTGATGCCTGGAGTGCATCATTATAACACAGTTTAAAAAAAAAAGTTGATCCAGGTATATGTTATACAAGTATAAATGTACACCCATAAATGTATGAACCTACTGTATGGGTTTTTTTGCCATGTGGCAACGTACTAGAAGATGATCCTTAAATTACGTATTTCTTAATGTCAAATAACAGTCTATTTTTCATTAAACAATCATGAAAACAAATGGGGAAGGAGAAAATGTTTACTACTTTTAAACTTAGGTATGTCAGTTAATTTTAGAGGTAATACTAACTTTTAAATTGTAGTGATGAAATTATGATCAATGTTCTAACATGTTATGCTTTTATTTTGTCACTGGACAACTTGTTTAAGATAACAAGTTTTGGAGGAGAGGGAAAAGGAACAGTATTCAGCAAACAAAAGTTATCCGATGTTTATACTTTATCCTGTTTGTTAGGAACTTCTGTAAGTCTCAATTTGTGTTTCTAGTGATTTTAATAATATTTGTGATTTATCAGTAATGGCCCTTTTCCCAATATAATGTATTCAGATTCATGCATCTATTGTGTAGTCAAGTAGAACCTCAAGTTTGACAGCTCAAATGAGCTCACTTAAAAATGGAAGGAATCAATAATGAAAGATGAGTTGTATTTTCCCTAATGCAAGTTCTGTGGAAGAAAATTAAAATCTTGTTTTAAACTTACTACTGTGACACTGTGTGATGGAATAATTCATTTTTATTAAATATAGGTTTAATATTTCCTTTTCTTTGCTTGAGTGTAAGTTATTTCTTGTTGGGGTTCATTAGTAAAATAGTGAATTGCTTTTTTCTTCTCCATCTTGTACATGATTTGAAAACTGGTAAATACAGTATATTATTTTTAAAAGCTAAAGAATTATTTTCACTCACATATATACAGTTAGGAGTAATCAAATATCCATATAAAATGTAATTATATCTGTATATATTTTAAATAGCAAACATTTTTCTTGCCCATTTTTTTGCTTGTGTTTTGAGGTAGGTGGTACTCTTACCCAGTGTCTTTAATGACTAGAAGTAAGATTTGATAAGCTTTCTTTCCATAGACTACATGGGATGTTTGATTTTAAAGTAGAATTGTAATATGCAGGCTAATCTGAAACTAACTTTTCAAGTCCTAACACTTACGTTGCAGCAAACTTCACATTCCTTTGTAGGGTGCACTCAAGGCTGTCCAGTTGTTCTGCTGAACAATACAGGCATAAACATGGCTATTTATTTTCATCTTACTCCAAGTCATAAATCAAGTAGAGAACTGTCACAGATACAAGAGTTGAAATTAATTAGGTGTTATAAGAATATTAAAAGATGCTTTCCTATTCAGATCCACTTTTTCTTTCTCAGCTTTGTTTCTGCAGATGAAATAAATTTTCTATCCTTCTGATTAAACCAGCCATACCTGATAAATTTCAGTGCTCTGTAATCAATAAATGCTGTGTAACTGGGTTTTGTGTGTCAGTGCCTAAATCTTTAGCAGTTAAAAAGTGAAGAAAATAGTGGCTTTTCTCTGTCATGAATATAAGTTTATGGAAATGCAATAATACTGCCTTTTGTGAAAGTTAATGATCTATGTTACTAGGAGAGTGTAAGAACTTGTTTGTCATTCGTGTTGTAAATTGCTTTACTTTGAAATCCAGTCTATCTGCTTATAACTTTTTTAGTAGGGCTGATGGTAAGGTAAATTGGCACGTGAATCACATGGTTTAGAATGCCAATACTTGCTCAGATTTGATGAATTCCTATGACTTTTCTTCTGAAAGCTACAACAATAAAAAATACTGGGCAAGGAATGCAAGAGTATGCTCTCAAGTTTTTATCATCCTAAAATCATTCAGAAATTTGAACTGGGACTTAGTATTATTTCCAGTCTTAAAAATAAACTTAAAGCCTTGCTGAGTGATTTCTAGATATTTATGGTGAAAGTGGGAAGCAAATATTATCTTAGTTGGCCAAAAGACATAAACTAAGACCCATTGTAGTGTAATTAATGTAGTTCAATGTTAAGATGGGGAATCTGGAATATCATTCTGTTATTTGGTGCAAAAATGATGACGTTTAATTTAGATGAATGAGTTTTACCTGAGGTTCTAGGCGCTAGATGCTTAAGGCTGCTAAAATACTGTTTAGATATTTAAAAACACACATGTGAAAACTTCCTTAGATTTGATATGCCTTTTTTTTTTCTTTAGTTTTGGAAGAAGACAAGCTCACTAAAAATATTGTATGAAGTCCTCTCTTGACATTTTATTATGTCCTTTTAAAAAACAAATGAGGGTTGAAGAAGAAAGCTTATTTCTTGCTTTATTCCTTGCTTTGTTTATCTTCACAAAAAGTTTGATGGTAACTTAAAATAAAAAAGGACAAATGTTTCTGAATAGAGGGAACAGGTTGAGGATTATTTTGATGTAGTCAAATTTGCAAAGACTGATGACACTTGTCCTAGAGCACATAACAAACTAGACAAAATTGTTTTAAACCATTAACAGGTTCTCTTTGAGAACCTGGTGGGCACATAAGCTTTCAGAAGACTCGAAGAAATTGTGTTCTGAATAGCAAAAACTTGGTATTTGCCCATGCTGGAATAACAACTACAATAATAATAACTCCAGTTATTAAATATGCTGTGCATATGTACCTGAAGGATTACTAATGATGACAAATTCAGACTTACTTTCTTCATAAATGGGGTAAATAATTCTGTGGATAAGTACAAAATAGTAGATATGATACAGCTTAATTTCAGTGACACTTTGTTATCATGTTCTTAAAGTAGAACACTATAAATAAAATTTTTATTAGATAGACATGGTTGATTTGATTGAACAAAAACTAGCTCATTGTGCCTAATGATTACTTTGCTTTTTAACTCCAAGGAAGTATCAAATGGAATTTTGAAGATAATATTCTGGTTCAAAACTTCTCACTGGTGATAAATGATCATGAATGAGTAGAAGCTTAAATTGCAAATTAAATTCACTCTAATTTGTTATAATACTTCATAGGGCTATCAGAGGTGTTGCTTTTGATACCAGTCATTGAGCAATGGTCTAGAAGAGAATTCAGGGGATCTAATGGACCACAGTGGCATGAGTTAGCTGTGTACTTGACCTAAATTCAGTTAACAGTGGGTGGAATTGCTTCAAAAAGTTCCATTGACCTTATCTAAAATACCCTAGGAAAAGCTACTAAAGATGAAAACTCCTTGTGACTTGAGCAACTGCTTTAAAAAGAAGCAATCGGGGAAAAACAGACAATAGACAGTGAAGCTTGAGATCTACAGGATGGAAAAGCTGGAAAGTAATTGAGAAGTCCTGATAGTCAGGAGAGAAGAAGTAGAATCATAGAATCTGGGTTGCAAAGAATAGTCCTTATTTATGTAATGCATAAGCTGATAATCAGAGGAGGTGATGGATCTCATGCCCTGTTCCTGCTTTCCAGTAAATGTGAAGAACCAATGAGAATGAACCATAACTGGAAAGAGGTCCAAGCATACAGGTCTTGAGACTTGAATCCCAAGTGGGACGAGCTGCAGAGCTTGAGCATTCAGGTGAAGAGTGGCAAAAGGAATATTACACCACTTCTCACTGCCCCCTCCCAACCCACCCCTCCAAAAAACCCAAAAGCAGTGGGTCATCCTTTTACAGTCACTGAAATAACTTACTGGAAATTAACAGAGGCATATCTTGCTTTATCCCCATCTGCTTGGGGTAAAGCAGTGGAGTAGATGATCTCCTGGCATCCTTTGAAGTCCTGTGGTTGTTGTGGGGTTGTTTTTTTTTTTAAGATTCAAAATACGTGTTTAAAAATTCTGTTCTCCCCATAATGAGTTAAACTTTAAATTTCTCAGCTCTTCTACTTGCCATTGGCTTGTTCAGTGATTGAAGATGATGGGCCTCAGTGCAATACTAAATAAAATTAACATAGTTAAGTAATTCATTCTCCCTTTTTTAAATAAACTTTGTATTTAAATATTGAGTTTAAATTAACGATTGTACCTGAAAGCCAGGTTTACTTTTATTACACAAAAATTAGTGTAATACTGTGTAAATTCACATGAAACTTGTAACTTTTGTGTGAAGAAGTGATTAAATTTTGACTAGTTTAAAGGTTATAATTTTAAAATAAGTAATCAGTAATGGAAAATGTTTGTCATCATTTTTGGTGTTGTAATTTTGTTGTTCTGTCACCTCAAGGATTAAGAGTTTAAGTAGCTGACAGAGGAAAAACAAATGATTCTTAGTTATATATGCAGTCAGACTAGTAAATATGGATAGTACTCTTCAGTGTTTTCCAAAAGTAATCTGAAGAAGCTTATTTGGGAGGAGCTGAATTTAGGCCACTTTAATCACTAATTATTGAACTATCTTTAACTGGTCTCATGCATTTCTTTGAAATGAAAAATTAACAAATGTCCTAAAGCAGACTCCATTGAATTAAATTTGGGAAAAACGATCTACTTAAATCTTCAGTAGTTAAAAGTTCATTGATCAAAAGATAGATCAAAGTTTTTCATCTTGTACAATCAAGCTCAAATTTCTCAAACCAAATCATTTCTCAAATGATTCAAAAGTTTATTATTTAGTGCTTTTAAAAGTCATTCTGACAGTGTTGAAAAATTACATATATGTTAATTCACAAAACGTGATGAAAAATACTGCTTTTTGGCAGCCACATTAGAATACACTTTTATGGATGGTGCCTTTTTATAAATAATAGGACTGATAAGTCTGCATGCTCACACAATCCTTGCCTGCTAACAGCTTGCTCGATTTGCTTGCAAAGTGTTTGAAAACATGTTTCAGACCTTCAGGTCATTTCAGAGAAACACAGTGTGTACTGAAAGTGACGTTTCAGTAAGAAAGTAAAAATCTAGCTACTGCTGCTTCAAACTCTCAAATATCTGTATTCAGAGAAAGTGCAAATTTTGTAATAAATAGAAAGCAATTTAGCTGATTCTCTACTTGTAGTTAATATATGGTTTGCAAAATATTAGCAACTGGGAGTTTCACAGCTGGTTTATTTACAAGATCAGGTACTGAAAGATTAAGTCAGATGCTTGAGTGTCGTTCTTTTTTCCAAAAATGAAATACAATGGAAAAATAGCTGGTACAAATTCGTAACTTTGGTATCCTAATTGTACATAGCTCTATGTGCTATGATAAAATAATTGGTGGCAGTTTCCTTTCACAAGATTGCATTTTTCATTTCAAGTTTCTAAATTTGGTTTCTAGGTGATGAAAATGAAGTTTCAGAGTGTCATGTTACTGATGGCTCTTGCAAAGTTTTTAATGAACAAAAGAATAAGCACAATGGGGGGTTAAGAAAAATTAGAAGACTCCAAAAGGTCAGTTTAACTGGACATATTGTTTGTTAAGCTCTTTCTTTTTCTTGGAGAATCACTGAGGGCCTTCTTTATACACTATCAATTTAAAAACTTTTCTGAATCTCACTTACCTTGAAATGTTATGCGAATGGTGTTCAAAGACAGTATGTACAACCACGGAGCTCAGCTTTCTGGTACCTTGCGGTAGCAGAGTCTGCGCCAAGTTGACATATAAAGGAGGTTGGTAAGCCAGCTCAAACTGTTTTAGTTGAAAAGCTGCTGAAGTAACCTGAAAAGCTGCCTGTCCTTTTTGGAGAACTTATTAAATGGGGTAGGGGTTTTTGTCTGTTTTGTAGTAGATCATCTCCAGTGGATGTTTCTGCAGGATAAAGATTTATGCAATATTTTCTCCTAGGTTCAGATAAAGCTAAATTTATTAACTTACTATTTGGGTCAGCACTGAATCTTTTTTAGGTGTTCTTCCCTTGTAAAAGTTTTTTTCTAAGTAAATATAAAACCGATCTGGAAAATAAATGGTAGTTCTTTTTAGCAGTGAGTCCTAAAGCACTAACAGATGTCTGAGGTAATTAATTATACAAATGTTGTAGTCTACTTTTTAGGCTAAAGCATCTACCCAGAACAGTTTCATTTCCTGCCACAGAAATCTGACTAAAGCTGTTAAGTGTATATCCACAAACTACAGTAAATGGCTCTTCCTAAGGTTATCTGTGGAAATGGTGTGGAAATCAGAGATTTATCAGATTTGTTGGTACTGATTCCTTCTCCTGTGTAACTGTGCTACAAGAGCATTATACAGTAGTGCTAGTTTTGATTAATTTCTCTTAAGAAATGATCCCAACATAACTATTACGTACTGAAGAGAAACAAAAAGCAACATGAAGTTCTTTTTTATTGTTCCCCTTTTTCAAACCTGGCCTTGCAGTCAAAGGTGGTATCTTTGAATGGTTCTGCTTGGTGTCTGCTTACAAAGCATGCTCTGTGAGGTGTTTAACAGTAGCAAAAGCTAAGTAGTAACTGGAGGAAATATCTGTTTGGTGTTACGAGATGGCTTCTTTCATCCATCCATTTCAGGCAGTTCATAATACAATTTGACTCAAATATCAGTAAAATAGCAGCACATACTTTCTTTCATGTCGCAAATGCTTCTTTAAATAATTTTAAAAGTTCCCAGTTGCAGTTTGACTGTGCAAATTGATATGGAGACAATGTTGGGGTTTTTTTGATTGAAAAGTAAAAAGAACTTCACAGTTCTTTTGGCAAAAGAACCGTTTGGCAGACAGACTGTTGCACTGAAAACTTTTACTTCATATTTTCCCCAAGCAACTGTCAATATATATTAAAATGTTTATTAATATGTCTGTTTAAGATCTATCTTTCATTGTCTGTATGCATGCATGCATGCATACATGCAAAATTTATAAAGCCAATGTTGGAGATCCCTAGGAAATTCGTAGTGAAGCAATTTTAAGAGGATATTGTTTTGAACAAAATTAGACTGAGTGTCTAAATTTTTTAACAGAATTAAGTTGCAAAGCTTCTCTAGTACCAGTCACAATATGTTCTGGAAGCTTTAAAAACAATCAAACATACAAATTTTTAATGAACACTCTTTTCAATGGCTGCAGCTTAAATGTTGCAACATTATGCTAATGTTTGACAATGTGAAAGAGAAGTTAGGTTAGAAAATTTTAGTTTTCTTTGCCCAAAGCAAAAATGTATGAGAGAAATAGCACAAATATTTTTTAAAATATGATTTCATTGCCTCATAGTATGATGAAGAATTTTCTAATGTTTATTTAAATCTTAAAGTCTATGTTAAAAAAACAGTGGAAAATAAATGCCATTTCCTAGCTATTTTAATTGACTAATGTTTCCAGAAATGTGACTATGTGAATCTCCAGACCTTTTATATCTAAAAAAGAAAAAAAAAACCAAACCACAAAAATGAACCACTGTAAATTATAGTCATTGTAGTGTATATGCAGTTTTGTACTGAATAGTTCCAATATGAGGCTTCAGATTGTATTGGTGGTGTTCCAGGAATCTGTTGTAAGTGTAATGTGTTAAATTCGTTACTTAGCTGTAAATCTCTTAATTTGGGAAGCAATGTAAATTGCAGTTAGGTTTTTTTCATAGAAAAAGAGGCTTGAAATCTAATACCTCTTTAAAAACATTTTAGATGTTTGCTGAATGTAATTCCTAGACAATATCTGACCTGAAACTTTTTAGAGTTCTTTAGCTATAACTCATTCACTACAGTGCATACTACAGTGAAAACTACAATTATAACTCATTCGCTTCAGTGAATGCACGTCAGTAGGCATTTGGAGTTCACTATGTGATAGTAAATATTAAAAAAGCCATACAAAAATATCTTTAGGAAATATGACCAGGTGTAAGAGTTAACATTATTTACTTCCATGGTTATTTCAATTTGTCATTTGTAGTTTCTTTAATTTAATATAAATCAAGCTGTAGATTCTGTATTTCTCTGCTGTGCTATGGTGTTATGCTTTTGTTTTCTTCAAAACCTGATGCAGGTTGAGTTCTTGTAGTTTGTTTTAGCTGAACTTAAAATCAAGAATTACTTTGTTCAGGTGCTTTTATATCACAATTTTAGATTACAAGTACTCATATTTTCTTTATCTATACTATTTATATAGGCATGCTTATTGTACTCTTGACATAGAAGACTTCTAATCAAAGTTATCTAAAATTGTACTGTCAACTAACAAAAGCCATGAAGACAGAGCATTTTATAATGGCAGGTGCAGGCATGTTGGGGGAAGATAATTAAGATTTTCAGGAATCCTTAATGGCTTCAGGAGCAGGCTTTTTTGATTCAAAACACCCCCACCCCCCAAAAAAACCCCAGGAGTTTTGGTGTGTTGTACATATTCAAATGCAGCACATCAAGATAGATTTAGAAGTTCAAATCTATGGAGAGTTTTATTAGTTTTGAGACATGACAACCCATAATTGAGGATAGTTCCAGATTCTTCTCATACAGAGTTGGTAAGGGTAAACACTGTGGATTAATGCCTCTGAATGTCAGCAGGTGGCTTCCCTGGTCTAGAAATCTAAGTTGATGATACTGGACTGCAGGGATAAAATAAACCCTTTATGCATTGTGATGCATTTTTCAATTATTCCATGGAATTGAATACATAGTTCTTTGTTGCTTTGCATAGGGAGGACAAAGTGATATAACTAAAAATCATAAAGCAAAAAATGTATTCAAACAAATTAGTTACAGTGGTGTTAATCTGTTGGTATGAGGGTTGACTGCTCATTTCATTGCTTAATGTTACATTTATCACAACACATGCCACAAAGATAAACATTTTGTACATTAAACAGATCAGAGACTCATTATGAATAACCAGGTAACTGCCATTTTTATTCAAATAAAAATTTGTTTCATATTTTTAGAGTGATATAAGAGGTGATATCTTTTAAAGGATCTAACAGTATCACATCACTAGAAATGCAATGGGAATAAATTTTGCACTCAAAAACCCTTAAAATACTGTCTTCTGAGTGAATAGAAGAAACTCTTCAACCACGTGAAAAAAAACAGTTAAGCATCATGAGGGATAATTAAAACCATGTTTTCACAGAGAAGACAGTATTGACTTAACTGAAATTCCGTCGGTTTTGTTTTTAAACAGATTCATCTTGGCTTGTATTTCTGTAGCTCTTGGATTTGGGTGAAGGTAAAGTTATCAACACTGAACTTAAAAGATTTTTGAGAGAAAATTTTTACAAAGAATCCAAGTTCATGCTGTGGAACAATTAATATGAAGCAGGCCATTGTTAGATCCTGTTATCAAAATCCTTTTTGAAAATATTTTATTAATGGTAAAACAAATGTTAATATTCTGAAAAATCTGTAACTATAAACCATGAAGCATCTTAGCAGATATTCAGGAAAGTAACTTCATGTCTGTATTTGATATGTGCATTTGTAGACTGTCTTAAACAGGTTTATCGGTTTAGGGGACAACATCTTTTTATGTTTTCCTTCCAATTTTGATTTTGTAGTTGCTTTAAACACTGATACTTGAAACATTACTGACTTCAAGCCACAAATTAATATTAAACTAGTGTGAATTAAACAAGGCGGAAGCATGCAAACTCTTTCACGGTCAACAGTGAAGAAACTGGAACTACCTACACATTTATGATCTGGGGCGAGTACTTGATGTAATGAGGGTGGTGGACAAGTGGTCATTGAAAATTATTCAAATTGATTGCTTCTGGGTGTAGCAATGAGACGAGTGACTGAAGCTACAAATTATAAGAGTGCTTGCATGGTACCATTGAGAAACTTCTGTGGTATTGACCAAATGTCTGGTGGTGTGATTTTATGCATACCTGATTTGATCCTAGAATGTTTCTTGTTTAAAAGATGTCTCATCTTACATGAAGTAATCCTGAAAGTGTCTGACCAACTGATGATAGCTGAATAGTTGATTATTGTTTGACTCTAGTTATCTAGCTGACTCAACATGAAGTTGAACAACCAAGTTGTTGGGAAACAAGCTTTTGAGCAGACTACATTGTGGGACAAGTAACTTTGAAACTGTCCATGATAAAAGGATCTAATGTTATACATCACTGCAGAAAATCTGCTTCCTTGGAGTGTCTGAAATGTGCCACTGAATGGGACATTGAATTCCAATAAGAAAGTTTATTTTTACTGGCAAGACAGCTTATGCTATTGCTATATCCAAAATATAGCTGTGGTCATTTATTTGTTCCAAATGTCCAGGTTTTGTAATAGTATTAGCATTTGAGAACAAAATGTCGTAACAATAAGTAGTGTTAGTATTTGTTTCATATAAATGGAACATGCAGATACTCATTTGATAAAATACTTCTTTTCTTTCTTTTGGTATAAAGTTAAGTAATGAAAAAAAATCTAAGAACTTCTTATTGGCCTAATGGATTTTAAAAGTATTGAATGCTGTGAGAGTGATGTATAGGAAAAACTAAAA